AAAAAAAAACAGCCCAAATGTTCACTAATGCCAAAGAAATAGTTCAGAAATTATGCTTTTCAAGATAATGAAGAGAAGATGGAAGTAACAGAGTTATAGCAAGGCTCCTCCTGATCCAAAATGTACACAAATCAACAATGGCTATTATTTTTTTGAAAATATAAAAAGCTTTTCTGCCTGGTAGATATCACAAAAAATAATGGATCTTAGAGTTGCAAGGAAATTTAAAATTCAAGAACAGTCACTCCCCAAATGTTTGATTTCCTTCTGTAACACCCAATACAGGCCTGATGACTTCTAGTGAGAGGAGCAGGCTGCTCTCCAGACAGCAACGGCTGAAGAATGAAGCCTACTTTTAAACACAGATGCAAAATTTAATGACTGAAATGATAATGAAGAATGGGAGTTTCAATGAAATTTCAAATTAGTTCCCACAGTAATTTATTGTAAAGGGGAAAACTGTCCAGTAGAAAACCTGGTTAGCTAGTTAAGTAATAATCAACATCACCAGTAATGGGACACATCATGCGCACTGTGAAGAAGGAGCATTCCTGAGTCTATTCAGGAGGAAACCTCACACTGTGCAAACTGACTTTGCCCTTTGGTTATATATGAATGCCCTGACTCTTAGGAACTACACATTGGTATATTTAGGAGTGTACAGGCTTGCAATCACTTACAAACAGGTCCAGGGATAAAGTGTGTATATGGGGGGTGGGAGAAAAAGATGGACTGAATGATAAAGAAAGCATATGGAACAAACCAAAAATCAGTAAATCTAAGTAAAGGAAATATGAGAACTCTTTGCACTATCTTATAATTTTTCTTTATGTGTGAAGTTATATCAAAATTGGAAGTCCTCTCCTCCCCCAAAATGATAATAAGGTCATATGATATTACATAAAAACAATGAAATATGTGTTAGCCTAGGTTATTTGAAGAGCCCAGAGGCTACTGCTAAAAAAGGATTTCCATATTTAGGTGACTTAAAGTGAGAATGTTAAAGAACTGAATTGTTCTTGTGATATCTACCAGGTAGAAAAGTTTTACCCACGACCCAGGCTAACTCCACTTTTTTTTTTTTTTTTTTTTTAAGATGTATTTATTTATGCTTACAGAACTGGGGCACAGGCCAGAGGTATGGTGGGTGAGAGGATTCACCAGAGACAAAGTGGGGAACAGAACAGACAGAATGATGAAGTATACTGCTGAGGGGAGCAGCAGGAGGGTCAGGAGAGGTCTGCAACGCCATAGGGATCAGCTCCTGGCCGGGGATTGAACTGGTGCTGCAGTGACTTTGGAGAGCTTCATAATGTGGTGCTTTAACCCACTGCACCACCAGGAAGAGCCCCTAACTCCACTTTAATCATAACATGTATGTTTTAATGCGCTTAGTATATCTGTGTATAACATTTCTGTCATGTATGAGTATATGTAATAATGTGACTATATACATGTTTATGTAATTTTTACTTCTCTGAATTTCACCATCCTCTTACAAAGAACTTTGTCAGCCAAAAAGTGAAGAAAATAACTGTAACAATGAAAGGAAGAGCTGGAATAGTAAAATGCTATTAAAAATCCATGTGTCATTGAGGTCATTTACCAAATAACCATATATTACACAATACCATATTAGAAAACCATAAGAAGAATAACTTAGTTCTATAAATAGAATAATGGAAAGATGCCAAGATACAGTATTAATTGGGGGGTGGAGGGGAGAGGGTGGGGAAGTACCATACAATACATATGTCATAAAATTCCTTTTTTTGTTTAAAAAATAAGCTTACACCAAAGAAATAATTACATATGGGTGTAGATCTACAAAGTCTTTATAGTTCTTAAAACCATTTCTATAACATTTTAATTTTCCCAGTATTATCATTTTCTAAGTAGAAAAAAAATAAGCATAAGACCTCTACCAAAGTGGCCAAATTTAAATGGCTTGAGACATTTATCAAGACACCAATTTAACTACTTTAAAAGAAAGTATGCAATAAATATTCTTATGTATTTTTATTAGCAAAGCTACTTTTATTTCCCAAATAAAATCCTACTGTGAAGCTTATTTAGAAAGCTGATAAAAAAAAAAAAAAAAAAACCTAACTAAAATTGTTTGGGGAAGGTGGGTTCTACACTCAGCCTGCAACTTTTTGACCTTCCCTTTTTTGCATGTTCAAACAGCCCAAGCAATCAGAAAATACATGAAGAATTCTGTAACAAGTAAACCAAGCAAGAGGATCCTTGTGGTCAAAAGAACTTAAATACAGCACACACAAGTTTCACATTTCTCCATAAATGAGAGAACTGTATCCATTATAACAAACAAGTCTACAACACCTGTCTCACCAGCACCCTTAACCCCCCCACCCATATGACCATAAAAGCATAGTCATTAGCAGGCTCAAATGTCCCCTCCTCGAGCTAAATCTGCAATCCTATTGGAAAACAGAAGGATGTAAGTGTTCTGTCAAATGCTATTCACATTAAAAGGGTTTTAATTTAAAGGATTCCAGAAATTCAAGAGTAATAGGCTAGAGATTTTAAAACATAAATCTGCAAAGGCACTGCTCCAGCCCACCACCTGCCTACTCTTCTGTATGAATGGCAGCCCACCCCTCACATCTAGCCCTTGGCCTGGCCTCTGGGCCTGAACGTTCCTGCCATGGTGCCTGGATTTGACCACTCTCTTACCTTGGACTTTGCATGCCAAGTGAAGTGCAGGAAATTTGTCTCACTGGGTACTAACAGGTTAAAGGACAGAGCATAGTGACTGATAAGGTCATTTCTCACATAATAAAGTTCTGCATCAAGACCTAGAAAAGAAATAGGGAAAAAAAGAATTAATCATCTAAAATACTCACAACGTCATTAACTGTCAGTATTCAAATTCTAAAAATGTAGTGAAGATAAAACTGATAGGCCTAGCTCCATCACAGACATCTCTCACATATGCTACCTTATGCAGCACAAGTGACACTTGGCTTTGTCAGCACCAACAAGGAACTCACCACCCAAGTAGCTAGCCAGCTAAACTTGACAGTGTTAAAACCCTGGCTGGTAGTCCCTCTCTTCTGAGAGTCAATGTGACTCTCTTCCTTTTGCACTAGTACTTCTCAGAGTAAAGCTATAAACAAAAACCACTTCCCCCTCAAAATGAATATGGATTTATGAAGAGATACTTATAATGGGAGAAAAGGACCTCTGTGAAAACTTTAGTGTGAGCAAAGGCCTCAAATTCCTGGCCAGGGAAGACGCCTGTTTCCAGCTTCCCTGCCAGCGAGACAAAGCCCCAGAGCTCTGACATTCTTTGCAGGGCACACCTCAGCTGCCACACACACAGGTTGTCTTCCCACAAGGTGGAAAGCACTGTATTTCTCTTCACATTTTCAGGACCATTCTCTTGACAGTAAACACTTGCTAAACAACAGATTAGCACTGCAGATAAAACACCAGAATTGCAATACTGGAGGACTAACTCCCAAATTTCACTCACTCTCAGATGAACCTTCTTGAAGATGACCACTTCCACTTATAACTCCTCCTCCAAGTTTTGTATAGTCCTTCATCCTACCTGGATTTAGTACTTCTCTTTAAAATGATCCATTTTTGAGAACAAAAAATGTAAAGGCAAAACCTAATCACAATCACTGTTGGGAAAAAAAATTTCAAGATAATAAAAAAAATTAATGAAAATGGAAACAAAACAGTAGTAGTAGATCCTAGTTACATACTTGTTCCTACCAAGGCAGTGAGCTTCCGCTCAGTTCACTGTTCACTGACTGATATGTCAGTCAGTGTTTAAAAGAATTTCAGAGGCCTTCCTCTACAATAATACAAAGAGAATTGAAATTTAAAAAGCAGGTAAATTTCTTTCAACTTTTATTTAAAGTCGTGCCCAGGTGTTCCTCTGGTAACACAGGGTATGTGTGGAATATCCCACACCTTAGAGAGAAAAGGTACAGGGGAGAACAGATGAGGTGTAAATTTCTATTTACTGCGCCTGTACCATGGACCCGAAACCTGTGGTATACTGAGATTCAGTCAATATGGGAATCTTACACCTCCTAAGGAGTGAAACATAAAACAAATAACTCTGCTACTAGGATTTTGCCTATAAAGTCAGTATTCTGATTTCTGGATTTAATTAATAAAATAATTAATTCATTAATGAGATCTGAGGCTGACCTAGAGGAGAGCTGCTGCGCTGACTGGATAGTGTTGTTTATATTTATCCCATAGAAGGTACCAAATGGAATGAGAGCAAAATTAGAGGTTGTCTTCAAAAGACTCTCCCTGTTGGGAAGGCAAGTGCTAGCTCTGTATTTCAGAAAATAGTCAAAGAAATTATTTCCCAATTCATTTGATGAGGACTGCATTACACCAGTATTAAAATCTGGTGAAATAATGTAAGAAAATAAAATTGACACGCATGGACAGATTTCCCAGAAAACATCAGCAATTGGAGTTTGGCAATATATAAAAAGAATACTATATCATGACCAACTATACAAGAAAATTGACTTCAAAAAAAAATCAGTATAATTCAACCACACAGAAAAAAAAAAAAAAAGATTAAAAATCCAGAACATCTCAAAGCTGCAGAAAAAGATAGCTGGTAAAATACAAAGTCTAAAATCATAAGAAAAAATGCCAGAAGACTAGGGATAGACAAAAATTTCCTCAGCCTAGCAAACAGCATCCATAAAACTTTACACCTTACATGCTCAGTGGTGAATTAGTAAATTCTTATTCTTGCCATCAGAAACAAGTCAAAGGTGTCCATTTTTACTTCTATTCAATGTATACTGGAGGTTCTAGCTGATGTATTAAGTAGGACTAAACAAAAAAGAGTAAAAGGATGAAGTAAAGCTCATTACAGATATGATTAGGGATGTAGAAAACACTATGAAACCTAAAATATTTCTAAGATCAATGCATGAACTTAGTCTCAGAATATAAAATCGATGTTTTAAAAATCATATATTTTTATGTATTAGCAATGATTGAAAAATAAAATTTTAAAATCAACAGTTTATCATTTAAAAAAAGCAAGTACCAAGAGATAAATCTAACTAAAGATATTCAAGACTTCTATATCAAAAACTACAAAACATAGCTAAGAAAAATAAGAAATGACGTAAAATGTAGAGAGACAGCATATCCTTAGATAAACCTCAATTTCTTTTAAAAAGCTGTTTTTAAGGTAATTATTTATTTATGCATACAAAACTGGGGTAGAGGCCAGAGGTGCAGGGGTGTGTGTGTGAGAGGATTCATCAGAGACAGAGTGGGGAGCAGAACATGTAGATCCACTGAAATACACTGCTGAGGGGAGCAGCAAACGGTTCAGGAGAAGTCTGCCACGGCATGTGGGTCTCCTCCCTGCTCGGGGATTGCACTCTGGCTGCATGCCTGCAGATAACTTCACAGAGCTGTGTTTTAACCCGTTGCACCAGCAGGGAGAGCCAAACCTCAATATTTTTTTAATGTGTTTTCTTATTTCTATCTTTTATATCACTACTGTATTCCCCATAAAATTTAAAATTCCCAACCCCCAATTCACCCGTGAACCATGGTGATAGTCCCTTGTGCTCTTCTCTTCCCTGTTTTGATCCTTTTTCTTTTCCCTCTCTCACAGAATGTCTCTTATTTATGGGCACCTGCTAATTTTGTTGTTTGTTTAAATATTATTATTGTTGTTGTTATTTTCCCCTCCCTTTTTTGGTTCCCCTATATCTCTCCTATTAGTGAAAACATTCAGTATTTTTCTTTTTCCTTCTGGCTATTTTACTGAGCATGATCCTTTCTAACTCCATTCATGTTGCTGCGAATGGCATGAGTTCATTTTTTTGACTGCTGAATACTATTCCTGTGTGTGTGTGTGTGTGTGTGTGTGTAGTATCTCACATCTTCTTGATCTAGTCATCTGTTTTGGGGCATTTGGCTTGTTTCCATATCTTATATATTGTAAATTCTGCTGCAATAAACATAGGGTGCAGGGATCTTCTTGAATTAATGTTTTTGTGTCCTTTGGGTAGATTCATAGGCACAGAATTGCTGGGTCATATGATAGCTTCATTTTTAGTAGGATAAACCTCAATATTTTAAAGATATCATGTCCTTAGAGATTCAAAGTAATCCTAACCAAATTGCAACAGATTTGTTCTAATCTGAAACAAAATAATTCCAAACTAAACATAAATACCAAAACACTGGAAAAAAAAAAAAAACACTGTTGTTATCTGATTTCACAACATAATGAAAAGCTATAATAATCAAGACAGCATTGTATAAGTGTAAGGATAGACATATAGCAATATCTGTAACAGAACATAACATAAAAACAAATTTGCAAATATTAGGCTAATAGAATTTCAATAAGGGCAATGAGGCAATTCAATTAAAGTGATACTAACATAACTGGAAAAATGCACACTGGGAAAAATCTTGAACACCAGCTTATCACACAAAATCTAACTTGAGGTATATCTAAATATAAAAGCTAAAGCTATAAAGCTTCTAGAAGAAAATACAGCTGAATAAATTCATAACCTGGAATAAACAAAGTTTCCTTAGATCATACAAAACATTCATGAATGAATGGGGAAAAAATGATAAATTGGCTGTCATCAAAATTAAAAGCCATGTATTGAAAGACCTGTTGAAAAAATGAAATTCATGTCACGACTTGGATTAAGTATCATAACACATTTATTTTTTAAAAAGGGCTTACTAGAAAATACAAAGATCTCCTACAAGCCAAAAAATACAATCCATATAAGTAAAATGGGTAAAAAGGTGAACATGTTTCATAAGAAAATAAATATAGAGAGACAATAAGTATGAAGGAAAAGTACTAAACATCATTAGTCACTAGAGAAATACATATATATTTTTAAAAGATTTATAAGCTACCATTTCTACCCAAGAGAATAACTAAGTGCTGGCAAGGATGCCAAACAGTTGCAACTTTGCATATTGCTGAGAATGTAAAATGTTCAACCACTATGGGAAACTCAGTTTCTTACAAAATTAAGCTCACATTTACTCAGTGACATAACTCCACCCCTCAGTAATTAGTCAAAAGAAATGAAAATGGCGCAGCGGATTAAAGCACAGCACTAAGAAGCTTAAGCCACTTCCGCATGAGTTCGATTCCCGCCTGCCCCGGAGGAGATCCACATGGTGTGGCAGACCTCTCCTG